CACTTTGGGTGGTGTCGGTAAGACCAACACTGTCTATCTATGAGTTCCGATCAACACTTAAACTGAAGTGGCAAAGTTGTCAGTTAACAAGGAAACGACTTAAGTTCTCCTTGTCGAAGATTTTGATACCAGGAACATTAGTTTAGTAAGTACTTACATGTAGTATAAAGGTTACTAGTAGTACCACATAAGTAAGAAGGCTGCTGAAATAGATAGAAATTTTCTGAATACAACATTATTTTATGTCTTCGTAAGATTAACTTTATTTTATAAATATATATAGGTTATTTTATGTTCTTGTATGAAATACTTATATGTAAAGAGCATGTCCTAGATCAAAGTTGTAGCGGGTTTACAAACAGATCAAAATGTTTGCCAAAATGAACATTGAAAAATATTGCTAACGCTTACATTAATCAAATAAATCTTTAATTCGCTGCATCGTCTAATTATAATTTTTCATGCCATGACTCGTGGGTTTTATCACAAGGCCATAAATAGAGATTCAAAGTTTTTAAAACTGATAAACAGCCAAGGTATTAAAAACATTTCCTTTTCCAAAAAGCAATGTAATATTAGTCAAATAAATGTGTAGACGTTGTTTTATTCTTGTACATGGGGTCAAAAATTGGGACACAATTAAAAGGCGTCCACTTTTTCACAGGGAAAGAAGATGGGAATATATCTCTAAAAATAATCAAAGAAAACAAATGATACAACTGTTAGAAAGATTTATGTTTTACTTTTTAAAAAAATATCCAAAGACTGTTTGGAAAACTTAAAATCTCAAAACTTTTTTTCAATATCAATAGCATCAAAATAAATAAAATTTTCTACGCTGTATATAACCATCCCTCTCGATATATTTAAGAGCAGGCTTTTTGACATCAAAGCCAAGTCGTAATGTTTCATATCTTGTAATTGGTCATCTGCAAAATTACTTGGTTAAAAATTCTTCTGATTCGACATACTAGTACTCTGAAGTTGATATTAAAAGATGCTGGAGTTCTCCATTGACAATTTCTATGTAGTCTTTGGTGACCAGGTCTTCAAACAATCTGTTGCAATTTCGATGGGCCTTAATTGTGCTCCTATAATAGCCAACCTGTTTTAATATTCCTATGAAGCAGAATTTATTCAAAAACTTTTTCATGATGAGAAGAGAAAACTCTTGTTGTGGTCTTCAAGTCAACATTTAGATATAGCGACAACGTTTTATCAATTTCGTTCATATGTTGATTCGATATATCCTAGTGAACTCGAAATAAAAGACATTACTGAGTCTGCCACATTTGTTTATTTTAGGATGCATGTTTTATTGATTATAGACGATAATGGCCAACTATAAAAAGGGGCTTGGACCAGTTTTCTAAAATGCTCGATATAACATCATGACTTACATGTTGTTACAGCATTTCAGACCGATATATTAGAACAGCGTGTTTAGATAATTCTTTTGTCTGAAAATTATTGAAACTACGAAATTAGGAACGCGTTTGATTAACACATCCTTGCAATTTCACAAAGTAAAACTTGTTCTTAATTTTTAAGAAAAGTGGAAAATATGTTGTGTATTAATGAAAAATATTTAAACTTTAATCCACAAAATTCTGAAGGGAAACTTGAGAAAGCAAAATTAACACACCAGTGTTGTCAGTTTGTGTTCAGTGATGTGTGCAGAGTTAACAAATTGAACGTACCCGGTTAAATGTAAACAGTTCGTACCCATGTTTACAAACACAGATGTTTGACATAATGTTACGCAGAATGTCGTTGTCGCTGGATTCTAAGATTTTTCATGCAAGTTCAATTCATTAAGTTGGAATTATTTTTTGACTAAAAATTTGGAAAAAAAATTGAAATTTAAAATTGTAAACAAAACGGTAATGAAACTGTGTCCAGGTCCCTTCTACGGCATACGGGACGATTTCGGTTTTTCAATCGTCAGTTTTCCCTTATTTATGTAGCAGAGGTCCATTTTTCAAAAGAACCTAGGGCTAAGACCAAAAACTTTAGTTGATTGTAAAATTTTGCAAAATTAATGATTCTGTTTGAAATTCCTAGCATATAAATATCTTGTTAAATTCTGTTTAAAAAGATAAAATTCATTTATAAATCAATGTAAAATAGAAAGTAGTCAGCATAATTTAATTTTGGTCTTGGTCTTTTGTAAAACGGGCCCAACATCAACTGTATATGGTGTTTCCAAACCGCTTCGATATGCAAAAGCATGATCAAGATAGATCAGTGTTAAAATCGAGGCAAGCTAATGACAAATAAGTTTATGTTACAAGAATTTTAAATACTCCGGTCAGCTTTTCTTAAATTTTAGTTATTCTACGGTCGTTTTAATGACCTTGATTTTAATACAACCTATAGTTTGGTTGTATTTTGTCTCTTATAATTCATGCCATTTGTTGAGGCATTATTTTTATATTAAAGTTGGGTACTCCGTCTACCTGAAAAACATACATAGGGCTCATAGCGGCACCTCCTTGACACCTGATACCATCTCTGGTGTTTCCAAGGATCCGCATTTGCTCTGTTCACTATTCGTTTTTGTTATTCTAGATTTAAGAGATTGATCACTGTTCGTTATCTTCATCTTTTACATTACATGTACGTATATCTGCTATAAAGGAAATTCCACCTTCCTGTGATGTCAAAGGTTTTAGCAAAATCTGTTATTAATTTAAATTCATACCCAATAGAAAAATATCAATGGGTGTAATGAAAAATATTGTAAAGTAAAAGAGTTAAAAAATTGAATATTTTCCTTATGTTATCAATTATTTAATCCTTAAAAAATGTTGCTAAGGGCAGTAACCCCTGCTGATGTATCCTCATTCAGGCATTTTCTATATAGTACTTCTAATGTAAAATGGTTTCCCTGATATTCACAATTCAAACATATTTTTAAAGTATCAATTATTTTAGAACTTTCAGCATCAGAATTATGTATTTGAACCAGTTTTTTAACATATTTTTTTTTATAATACTGATTACTAAAATGTACGATTTTTTTATGCTGACATATAATTCTTGTTTGTGTATGTCTAACGTCTTAAAAAATATGGCAACCTATACATTTTTGGTGATTATTAATTTAAACTATATTCAGTGAAAATAAATGCAGTTTTTCTATTTTGAACCCATAAATTTGTGAGGGTGGAGATACATTTATATTAAAACATTTTCATGCACCAATTCATGATCTTCAGGTAAGAAGTGGGCAACATCATTTTTTTTTTACATCAATTAACAATATCATCTTCCAATATGATGATTAGAATTTCTTAGGCATTCGGTGGGGGTTGTTTTACTACTCATTTGGTATAAAAACAATTGAACTCAGCGAAGTATTGTGTAACTTCGATCCCTTAATTTTATCAATCATATCAGATATTCTTGGATTATGAAACCAGATTAAAATTAAACACAAAACCTTACACACTGGATGCTAGAACATGTAAATATATCAGCAGTTAAGAAAAAAAGACTTCATTATACACAAGCTTTCTACAGAGAGTTCGATTATGTTGTGGTTATCCTAGTCCGAATGTTTGTTCTTCTTCAAACTACCCGAATATTTTAGGCAGTAGCAAATTCATCGTCCTCTAGATGTGCAATAAGGATTTAAAATTCTCATTTTCAACCTGGGTGCCAGTTGGCGTTAAAAACATTTTTCTACAAAAACAATGATCCCATAACTCCTCTCCCACTTTTTGCAGTAGGTAATTCATCTTTTGGAATATAATTGGTAGTATCCTGAAAATATACAGTAAAGCTTCAGAATTTTCATGTTTACCCTGGGGTCAATTTAGGATTAAAAAATTAAAAAATGACATACTTCTACTAAAGCCAAGAACTCTTCTAATTTACACAGTAGCGAAATAATGTATGACTTGTGGTGCCCTGTAGATGTTCAAAGAAGTTTTATAATACTTTTCATTTTCCATCTAAAGACCAATTTGGTATCAAAAATGTTAAAAACATGTTAAAAAAAACGTTTCAGAACAGGTTTGAAGTTTACCAGACCGATAGATAGACAGAGTCTTCAAAGATAAGCAAGGTAATATTAGTCAAATGAATGTGTAAACATTAAAATTTGTTTAATTCGTGTATCTTGAGAAAAATAAGTGAGACACAATAGAGGACCACCTTTTCAAAGGGAAAGAATTGGGAACATTCCTTCATGAAAACAATAATCAGAGAGAAAAAAGTTAAATCTGTATCTGTTTTCATATTAACATTGTCAAGGAGAAAATTAAAAAAACATGTATGATTAACCATGATTATGATTGAATTCATGGTCTCTGATTTTGTTAGTCGTTCAGTGAGGGAATTTTTTTTACAGCAAGTTTAGCATAAAAAACAATTCTAAATATTATTTCAATTAAATTGGTGCTAACAAAATCCACTTTTGAACTTTGCACAGATGGAAATTGAACCTATCAATTTGAAGCAAACTGGTAAAAACAGTTATACGAAACACAGAAGTTTCCCAGGGACGAACATATGTCTCTATAGCTAAAAAAAAAAAAATGAATATATCATATAATAAAGCTTGGCAGGAGTCCGAATTCATTAAAAAAATCGCACTTTTGTAAATGTTTCAAATGTTTCATTATTATGAAATTCCATATTTTATTCAATACATATTAAATATAGATATTATTCAATCTAAATACATATTCATAATATGATTGAATATGTGCAAATAACGTACAAAAACAACAAATTCAAAAGAAAAAAAACATATCAGGTTAACAAAACGTTTTTAAATACATTTCATTTTGATATATATTCTTTTTGCTATGTGCTATTAATACAATTATGTGTTATCTGGATCTGTCTATATATTAATGCTGGTAATATGAAAGAGGAAGATGTACCTACTACATAATAGAACGGATATCCTTACTTTGAAGAAATGTTCCTTACAAAACAGGAAAACCGATATACTTTTTCTGATTAATTTAATGAGGAACTAAACATAGATGGCTGGAATTCCGGGAAAAGAAACTGAAGCTGTGAAAAGGACAATGGATTCGGTTACCTTCGTTTTAGTGACATGTTTCTTCATTCTGGCCACTTATTTCGGAGATAGCGGTATGTATAAATGCTTTTGTTTCCTCTAACAAAAGTGTTTGAGTTAACTTATCAACTGTGACTTTTGTAACTTTTCTTTGTTTAGTACACCTATTGTGTCTGATTCTAGACTACAAATGTTGATTTAAAATGATAATTAAGGGGAGCGTAAGATCACACCGGAAGCGATCATCAGCTGATTATTGGTTCACCGTTCACAATGCCCCAAAGATATAACATCATTATTATCATATATAGATTTGATACAAGTCCGACGGCATTCGGTAGAATTACTTTACCTATAACTTTTCATTCAGCAGTAAATAGAAACCTTTTAGACCAGTCTGGTTGTCACTGAGGAACAAAGACCCCATTGATAAAATTTGTTTAAATTGCATGAAGACTTTAAATGAAACATCATAAATGACACAAACCGCATTACAAACAATTACCCACATGGTCCTATCTTCGTCATAAATTATGAATTTTCTTTACCTCACACCTACATACAGGACAAGGGACTTGTGTTCATCAGAATGAAAAATAAAATGAAATATTTCTAAATTTAAATATCATATATATATTAAGATGTATGTAAATTATATAATATATTTTATATATATTCTAAGGCATAAGGTATATCCTTTAGCACGTTAAAGAAAAAAAAAACAGGAGATAGGGGGAAATGTTTATATATAGGCGTGTCCTGAAAATAGCATACAATATAGGTATTTTGGAATGTTCTGAGTAAATATTGAATCATGCTGACTTCTCTACCTGTAAATCAACATCTGGTAATAAAGATATCGGTCATTTCATTTTTGACATTTTACGTTAGCTTTTACCACTTGTGGTTGTGTGAAGAGATTTCGATTCTAGTAACTTAATATCTCAATGGAATTTAAAACAGGTGCATTTATGATTTTGCATGAAATTTATTTAATAACAAGAGGCCAAAGAACTTTTACGGTCACCTGAGTATAATACACCCCTGTGAAGGATATATGGAATGGTAAATTATTATAATAACACAAAATAAACTGAAAGTCAACTAGAAGACAAACAGGATGATCAGGTATCAACAAAATAATTATTTTCTATTCAGCATAAACTCAGAAAGTTTCTGCATAAGACAGAACTATTAACAATCCCTCATTATCACCAACCATATCTAGACAATAATGCAATTGGCAAAGTACACCCAGGCAACTGGCTTCTCTTGATCTTTGAATAATGCTTAATGAAAATATGTAAGGTATTTTTCTCTCATTTATATTTATCTTTTTTTTACAACTCTACTATGAAAAAGTAAGAAGTATTCTTTGTAAAAATATCGTATAACTCTTTTATTCAATTAACCTATCAATTACATTATTAACAGTAATAAGTTATCATTAAGTGAATAACAAAGGAAATAACTTCTCCTAAAGCAGAGTTAAAATTCCCATATATGTTCATAATTGAAACCATACCAACTATAGAACCCCTGTTTCAGGGGCCGTGAATTTCACAAATTTGGAAGAAGCACTCTTGTTCATATTAACGATGCACTTAGTTTCTCTAGTAAATATTCGGGAGAAGAGAAGATTTTTAAAGAATTAATGCATTTTCACTGTATGAAAAATAAAGCCCTGAATTTTACAATTTTGAAAGAGGCACCCTTATCATCATACCCATACACTCATCATCTAGGAGCAGAGAAAAAGATTTTCAAAGAATTAATGCAATTTTACTAAATGAGCAATAGATCCACGCCCTAACTCGGGAACCCCTTAATTAGTGACCATGAATTTTACAATTTTGAAAGAGTTGCATTTGATCATTATAATAATTCACTTAGATTGTCTGATTAAAACCCAGGAGCAGAAATGATTAATTTAATAGAATTCATGCGTTTTTACAATATTATCAATAGAGCTCCAATCTAACGCCAGAACCCTTGAATCATGCTTTGTCATCATCAAAGTTTGTCTGCTATTACATGGGGGAGAGAAGAAGATTTTTGAAAAAATTATGGATTTTCTGTATGAAATGAAGAGCCCCATCTTAAGATCAGAATCCCTGATCCTGGGGCCCCAGATGGGGGTAACGACCATGAAATTCACAAATTTTATTCTTTTTAATTCATAGATGCAATAAACCAGATACGGTTAAAATTGGTTCAGTGGTTTAAAGGAAGAAGCTAAAAATGTTCAAAAGTTGATGACTGACGCATAACGAACGACTACAGACGGAAACAGATCGCAATAGATCACCTGAGTAAATCAAGTAACCTAAAAAGTTCGAAGAAAATATTGCTTTTAAACGGAAAGGCATTAATGGTAAATTTTACTTTTTAATCTAAAAATGAGGCAGTGTCGGCTCGTTTTCCGCTTTTTATCATCAGGACAATTGTTGGACATATGACTTTTTAAACAAGCATTCTGAGAGTATTGCATTAGCAATACTAGTCCCCTACCGGCAAGTGTAATCTGGTTCCGTTCCCGTTAAGAATTGAAAATGCCATAATTCCGTCAAAAATTAATGAAGCGGGACGAAATGCAAACTTGAAGACGGATTTTTCCGTCTACCTTATCAATAAAGAAGGCTCACAGCGGAGATGACCGGTCAACACGGGCTCCTAGGCACCTGATCCCACCTCTGAAATTTCCAGGGGTCTGTGTTTTATGCCATTTTAACAAATTTTATTGATTAAAAGATTTTTGAGATAGATCATTGTTCGTTATCTTTACGTACCTTTTTCAATATAATAATTCTAAAACTAAGAAGAATTTGAACATGTCATTAAAGATTTATATAAGTTTCCCCTTTTAATGTATAATCAGGAAAGCTAGAGTTAAGAGAACAAAATAATACGAGATTATTTCCTCGTTAAATTATCTATATATAGAAAGATGAATATGTTGGTACTGTAAGTCAGTGGTTTACAAGAAAACCACTTCCTTCCTTAATAAATGTTGTAACAAACTAAAATAATTTCTCAAATTTCAATTTTAAATCATATTCAATATCTATATTGCAATCTTCGGACACCATAGTGAATGATGATTGACCTTATTATTTTGCAAAATTGGTAGTTATATATTCTGCACATTCTTGAATGTGTGCGTGCATTTTGCAGAAAACGTGTCTTGCAGCCCAATCTACCTTCAAATCTTTGTCTTTTCTTAATTATTTGTCCTTGGAAGGAGGTATGGTATTCATAATCTCGCAATTTTAATCGCATCTTACACACCTTCTTGTAATTTAAATTCTGTGATTAAAAGAATTGATATGTTACAGTTATTATGAATAAGACTGCATGTTATGAATAAAAAAGGATAAGTTTAATACATCACGAAGTACATCTATTGCAACATAACTACGAAACATATCTTGTCTGATTCTGTTTTACCATCTTAAGATTTTCTGGAATTATTCTGCCCAAAGGTGACGAGTGTAGTATACAAGAATAAGAGATAAAATTGTTGGTACATGAAAGCTTTAACAAACCTAAAGACATACTGGACTTTTGCGTCTAAAAGGAGAATAGATCTCTTGGGATAAAATTTGCAAAATTCGAAAACATGTGTGTATGTTCCCTTTTTTCCCCTTATTTATAACGGACAGTAGTTAAACATGTATTTGTACCATTCCTACAAAGTAATGGGCCGAATTTCCTTTCTTTATTTGTTCCACTTTTATCCGCTTAAGTTCCGATGATTTCAGTGTGCAACTAAGAAAGGCAAACTAAATGTTAAGTTTAAAATATATATACAGAAGAGATGCACAAAATACAAGATATCATGTGTCTGAACTTCTTGTTAAATAAGTAATTAGATTTGGTTGTTCTTCTACTTTTTCAGATTCGACATGTTCAGTCTTATGTAAGGAATGTGATTTATTTACCAGTGAATGTGTCACGTGTGTAGGGGGATGGTATGGTGACCAATGCACAGACGAATGTAGCAGCAAATGTCTCTTGTTAACCGTCAGTGGTGAAGGCGCCCGGTATTGTGACAGAAAGACAGGTAGATGTTCCGAATGCGAGGCAGGAAAGTATGGAGAAACTTGCGAATTGGATTGTGGCAGAGGGTGTATATACGGCAGTAAAGGGGGACAATCGGGGAGGCATTGCGACCGAGAATCAGGTGTGTGTTCGTTTGGATGTGATGTGAAAAGTGGATATTACAGTGTTCAATGTGATAAAAAATGTAGCATCGGATGTGAGGAAGATTTTTTGGCAGGGGTGCGTCCTTGTAACCCAGACAACGGCACCTGCTTACTTGGCTGTGAACCAGGATGGATTGGCAAAACCTGCGAAGAAGATTGTGGAATTAACTGTGTAACCAAATTTGATCATTATTATCGAAAAGACATTCGGCATTGCAATAATATTACTGGGGCTTGTGAAAATGGATGCGAGGTGGGATGGTTTGGAAGTAATTGTTACTGTGATAGTGAAGGTTATGAGTGTGATGAAACTGGATGTAGTAGTGAAAGTAAGAAATGTAACAAGTGTTTGAAGGGATACCACGGTGAAAATTGTCTTGATAAATGCCCAAGCAACTGTGATAAAGAAGGATGTAACAGGCAAAGTGGGATGTGTATCCGTTGTGCGGACAACATGTTTGGAGAGACATGTTCATGCAAAGGACACTGCATGACATCTGGGAGTGGGGACGATGGGTGTGACGAAAGTGGTGTTTGCAGCACGTGTCAAGAAGGATTTCATGGTCCGTTGTGCACTCTAAATTGTTCCACAAATTGTGTGGGAGGTCGGTGCGATAGAAATAGTGGAACCTGCGATAGTTGTAGACCTGGATATTACGGACAACAATGTGACAAGAAGTGTTCAGACACATGTGATGCAAGCGGTTGCGATAAAGTCAGTGGATCTTGTTATGTATGTTTATCAGGATATTTTGGTTCTCTTTGTGACAACAAAAACTGTTCTTTCTCGTCTTGTGCCAATTGTGACAGAATCAGCGGTGTCTGCCAAGATTGTGTTCCAGGACGATACGGTAAAAATTGCCAGAAACAATGTAGTAAAAACTGCAAAAGTTCCATATGCAGGAAAACATCTGGACTCTGTGTAAACTGCATTCCAGGAAAATTTGGAGAACTGTGTGAAAAAAACTGTAGCTTAAACTGCCACGATGCTCTCTCCTGCCGTCGAAGTGATGGTCACTGCCATGATGGATGTAAACTAGGCTATGAACCACCGATTTGTTCCTCCGCTTTAACCCAGAGTAGAATGCAGACGATGGTTATAATCATTGTTTCCGTGGTTGGGTTTACACTACTGGACCTATAATCCCCTGATATTCTAATTTTTTCCTGAAAATCTCTGACAACCCTTGTACTTTCACGGTACATTACTGTACTTACATCTGTGCTTCACAGTACATAACAGTACAACACTGTACAGAAGCACAGCATTTCACAGCACCTCCCTTTACTTCACAGTACACTTCCTCTGTACATCACTTTACTTCACAATACTTCACAGTACGCATTCACTGCTTTCCACTGTACGTCACAGATATTAGCTGCACAGATAACTGATCTTCACAGTACATTGCTGTTATTCCCTGAACCCTCATACTGTACATCACAGTACATCAAAACATTCTACAGTTTATTCAGTATATACCAATGTACAAACAATTTTACTCTGTCCTACCCTGAAAAGCTTTGTATCCTAGGAAATTTATTCAATCTTTTTAAAAAATCTTATTTTATTTCATGGTTGCTTTTAAATACATGTATTTCTGAGAGATTAATTTTCAAAATGGATAGAGCGCCCTTGATTCTAGATGTAACTGAAAATGTTATATTTAAATGTTCTATTTTCTTTTTTTAATACTTTTGTCCAAGTATTTTAAATGAGTTTCCATTTAACATGAGTAAACGGACATTTTAAAGAATTAAAGAGTTTTACAATTTTTTTTAATTTATAGCTAATTAATTATATTAATCTTTTCTCCACATAGTATTGCATGTTTTTAATTCTACATAATTGTGTACACTGAAAAGCTGATTAAAGCCAATGTTATGATTTAGATTTCTGATTTTCAATTAATTCAACTTTTCATTTTCCATGAATTATTTTAAATGTACAGCGTACATGTACTGATAATTTTCTCTTTATATTCATTATGAAAACAACTAGAATTAATTAATCCCTAATCGCCGTCAAACGTACTAATAAACCCCCCCCCCCCCCCCCATTTTTCTCGACAAACTTAGGGAAATTATTGAAAATGTACATCTTTACTGCAATACGTCGATAATAATTGACCTTAAGTTACACTGCCGGTATTAAACTCCAGAACAGTGCTGATTATCTTGGTTTGTGATGATAAACGTAATAAAACGTAATACATGTGTAAATAATTTTATTATTAACATAATTCCCGACTAATTCGATATAAAGTACAAAGTATCGTAAGAAATAATATATTGAATAGATTTTTACGATAAACAAGCATTCTGAGAGTATTGCATTAGCAATACTAGTCTCCTACCGGCAAGTATAATCTGGTTCCCGTTAAAAATTGAAAATGCCATAATTCCGTCAAAAATCAATGAAAGGGAACGAAATGCAAACTTGATCAATAACTCATCAAGGTTAAGTCACATACCAAAAATCAGCTCAATATCTGCAAGCGTTTAGAAAAAAAATGCGGAAAACCCTGAAAAATTGAAAGGCCGTAATTCCGCCCAAAATCAATGAAGCGGAACGAAATGCAAACTTGATGTGTAACTCATCAAGATACACTCACATACCAAAAATCAGCTCAATATCTGCAAGCCTTTAGAAAAAAGTGCGGAAAACCACCTGGGACAGACTGAGAGACAGACAGTGGAACAGACAGACGGACAGACAGACTCAGAGGAAACCTACAGTCCCCTCCGGTTTCACCGGTAGGGGACTAATAAATAGACTTAACAATACGGCTGGCTGAAATTTTGACATCGGCCATATTCCTTTGGTTATGGAAGGTCAATGTTTTATGTATGAACGTCTAGCAGAAAGAAACAAGCATTCTAAGAGTATTGCATTAGCAATACTAGTCCCCTACCGGCAAGTGTAATCTGGTTCCCGTTAAAAATTGAAAATGCCATAATTCCATCAAAAATCAATGAAGTGGAACGAAATACAAACTTGATCTATAACTCACCTAGGTAAAGTCACATACCAAAAATCAACTCAATATCTGCAGGCGTTTAGAAAAAAATCGCAGAAAACCTTGACAAATTCAAAAGGTCGTAATTCCGTCAAAAATTATTGAAGCGGAACGAAATGCAAACTTGATCTGTAACTCATCAAGATACACTCACATACCAAAAATCAGCTTAATATCTGCAATCGTTTAGAAGAAAAGTGCGGAAAACCGAGTGGGACAGACTGTCAGACAGAGGGACAGACGGACAGACTCAGAGGAAACCTATAGTCCCCTCCGGTTTCACCGGTAGGGGACTAATAACGAAGAAAATATGCCGACAATTGAAGAGGTCACCGAAGACGAAGCCGTTGACAACTCGGGACTTCTACTGAATAGAACAAATTACTAAAGTTTATCTTCGTAAATATTTATAAATATGGGATTTTAATTATCCTTCATCATTATTTCAATTATTTATATATAAATAAATCCTGATTATCTTGTATTTGTTCCAGCAGTGATTATCATATACTAGAACAGTGTAGAAGTTACACTTCTTCAATGGCGCCATTACGAAGTTCACAACATTCCTACTAGATTCTGTGCGTCTTTATTAAAAATGACTGTTGGAAATTTATTTTTTTTAAAGAAAAGTATCTTTTCCTTAAAATATTTTATGGAACAGAAAATTCGTGATCGGGCCTAAAAGATTGTTCTGAATGGAGATAAACGTCGTCGCGTTTGTATGGTTTGCAGAAAAAGGCCCCCCTTTCACTTCTCGACCAAGTCCAGGAAATGTAGAAAAAAAATCTTCCTAAAACCTTTCTTGTGCACATTTGTGCTTCCTAAAACCACAAATTATATCTTACTAGCTGTCAATTATCCAATTATCACTTAATTGTTTTCTAACAGGTTAAATAGACGCAACAAATGAGCCCTTTTGTATACACAATAAGTACTTCACTTAACCAGGATTGACACCTATGACGTCAGAGCAATGGCGCATAACATCAGCGATCAAAATATGAATGTTGAGAAATTCGAACTTTGAATCGCTGAAACATCAAAAACATTAATTTCTTAGCAAAGAATTATAAATATATGATTTAGATAACACGTAAACTTTGTCATATCAAAAAGTTTTGGGACGTGATAAAAACCCTTTAAAGTTTATATCCACACTTAAAATTCGTTTTCTTTTATATGTTTATAAATCTATAATGAATGTAGTTCAGACGACATCACAATAACTCATTACTGTGCGATCTGTCACTTTTCAGTCCCGTAAAATGCGCATCACACACTAAACCGATCTACCAGAAAAACAGGGGGAAATGCTAAAATGATTTTCTTTTTTCCCCTTATATGAGTTTCACATTATCAGAAATCATTTATTTTTATATATTTATCTATTGTGAAGGAAAGTGATAGATTATAAATATTTCAATTGATGTGTTCAATGGCTCAGACTTGTGTCCTTAACCTAGCTGTGGCCGTAATGTTGCGTAACTAACTTCATGTGAACTCCGGCGAGTGCCTTTCTGTATAATGCAGCAGTGACACCTATTGTCTTAGTTTCTCGCTATCGTATACACCCGGATCACCTCAGTCGATTCTATCTACACACAGAGTAACGTCACAGATTTACTAATTGTCTGTTTGTTAATTCCGGTATTCAGCAGACTTGAAACATTTCGTAATTAGTATTACTGAAAATGAAACTTGTTTATATACTTAACAAAGATTCCCACTGGACTATGAAACATCAAATGAATCTATTTTTTTTTTTTTTATAAAAGTTTTGGTGTAAACATTTATGAAATTAAAACTATTGATAACCGTAATAATTGAAATAAATAGAAACGCTTTATCATATTAAAAAAATAAAATATACAAATATTAGATACAAAGATAAAATGTTTACAAATCATGCCATGTAAAATAAAAGAATTCTTCTCTACATTTTAGTATAAAATATAGTATACACTATTTAATTCACCATATTTAGATTAGCGTACAAAATGTGGGCACATTAATACGACTTCAATATCTTGCTGTTAAATCAGGCGAGAAATTATAAATTAAAAACTAGAGCCGAGCTCGTTGCAGAGCAACGAATAGGTCTTCCGTTGGAGCAGTGACCTTGAGTCAAGGTCATGCCATATTCTAAGATGATAAATAATCTTTTAAGGGACTATCAACTTGCAATGCTTCGCCAGTAGAAAGACAATAAAATAATGTACACTTTCTATTTTGTGACCTTGAACTTGTCCAGATGACCTTGCGTCAAGCCATGACACACTCTGGTTATGACGCAAACCTATCTGTGTTACCGACTTGACAAGTTAACACATGTTTTTTCAGACCACACATCCAGTAAAAGCATCTTGTTCTTAGTGACATTGAACTTGAGTCAAGGCCATGACACAGTCTGTATGATACCAACAATACCCATTCTGAGTGTTTCCAACTTGACAAGTTTACACATCTTTTTTTTATTTCGTTTCCATATAGTTGTAATTTATTACTTTTAACTCGCTGGCTTCAAATTTTATTGTATATATGTTTTATGTCCAATTTCGATATTGAAAAACGTCGGCATCTTTGAGTATGTGTACAAGGTGCATTACGTTACCCTATCACATCATGTTTTATAACGCAGACCATACATGCATGTATAGTCAGCGTTATAAAAAAGGTTAAAAAAAACCCATTTTATTCATCAAAAATCTCTGCTTAATTATCTTTACTGATTTCTTGCAGAACTAGAGTGTTCCCAGGAACGCATGTGTCGCCTGCTTTTAGCTTCATTAAAGATGTAACTAAGTCTAAAAGTTATCAGCTATTTATTTGCTAAGGCATTGAATATAGTTCACGCCAAAAAAAAAAAAAAAACAAAACAAAACAAAACAATCCAGGGATAGTAAGACTGCGATAGAATCTAACAATCAAATAGAAATGCAAATCCTTAACCCCTGAAAGCTAAGATGGATATTAATGAAATTTGAATAAATTTATTATAAATAATTATATATAAACTATTTAAGTACGTGATTTCAACAATCCTTCGAAAGAGGCTTCAGTCTTTCATATCAGCAATTGTCAGTCTACACCATCCATTTTGGAATACCGATCCCGTTGTATTTTCATAGTACTTAAATTTCAGTTTTTGTGGTTTCTTTATTTCATACACTGTCAAAATACATTGTCATGAGATCATAAACATGTATAACTGTTAATTATTAAACCCTGCCTCTGTAATTTCAAAAGACATAAGTTAAATTTAACCCTCCGCAGTATATTTTACAAAATAGGTCAAAGGTCAAGGTCAAGTGAACTGTAACGCTGGTATTTTTCAAAATGTTTTATGACA